TTCAATTATTAGTTTACATTTAAAAAAATATATTTTTTGCTATGAATATGAAAAATTTTATATTTATAATTTTATTTATACAATAATACGGGTCAAATAGGAACAAACCGCGACCCGCAAGGGTCAGCAGGTGGGTCTGGATTGTAGTCCAAAATTTGTGGAACCACCCATAGCGGACGGATTTTTTTCACGCAAGTCATTATCGGGCTCATATGTTGGCGGGGCGACCCGACTCGACCCGACCCGACCCGGACCACCCAGACACCTGTAACTCTGCCCTTTTCATCAAGACATAAAAATCAAAGCACTATTACTGGATAACATTCCACACACGTAGAGGCAACCCAAGCTACATCCATTTCTATGGCTTCCATTCATTCCTAAACCAATTTAGATTTTCCTTCTAGCCATTCTTCTCTTCCCAAAAATTCATACCACAAAAGTCATATTAGGCAGTTTCACTTTCCATTTCACACTATCGAATTTCCCATTTCAATCTTCCCCAAATTCTCTGGACTTCATAACAATTGGAAAAAATCGTAGCTGAATTTGAATTGCAGAACCTCTAATGGCTTTATCATCAACAAACCCTTTACTATCCTCTAACTTTTTTGGCACCAAAATTTTTATTTCTCCTCCTACACCTAAAACCGTTCCAAGAAATTTCCGAGTACAAGATTCGATTTTTAACAGGAATTCGAAATCGTTCAAGAATGTTCAATCACATGCCACTTTAGCTGCTTTACTGTTTTCTTCAATTACTCCACAAGCATTGGCAGTGGATAACGCCACCCCTCCTGCGGCTGCGCCGCCTGTGCTACAAGCTGAGGCGCCTAAGCCTGGTCCATCGTCGCCCTTTTCTCAGAATCTTGTTTTGACGGCCCCAAAGCCACAGGCCCAGTCGACTTCTGACCTTCCTGACGGATCTAATTGGCGTTATAGTGAGTTCTTGAATGCAGTCAAGAAGGGGAAGGTTGAGAGGGTGAGGTTCAGCAAAGACGGAAGTGCCCTTCAGCTCACAGCAGTGGATGGCCGTAGGGCTACCGTTATTGTGCCCAATGACCCGGATTTAATTGACATTTTGGCGATGAATGGTGTTGATATTTCGGTTTCTGAGGGTGATTCTGGAAATGGGTTGTTTAGTTTTATTGGGAATTTGATCTTCCCATTTATTGCCTTTGCTGGACTTTTCTTTTTGTTCAGGCGGGCACAGGGTGGGCCAGGTGGACCTGGAGGTCTAGGAGGGCCAATGGATTTTGGCCGGTCGAAGTCTAAGTTCCAGGAGGTGCCGGAGACTGGTGTCACATTTGCTGATGTGGCTGGGGCTGATCAAGCAAAATTGGAGTTGCAAGAAGTGGTTGATTTCTTGAAAAATCCCGATAAGTACACCGCTCTGGGTGCTAAAATTCCGAAAGGGTGTCTTTTGGTTGGTCCTCCTGGTACTGGGAAAACCCTTTTGGCCAGGGCAGTTGCCGGTGAGGCCGGGGTGCCATTCTTTTCGTGTGCAGCCTCAGAGTTTGTGGAATTGTTTGTGGGCGTGGGAGCTTCAAGAGTGAGGGATTTGTTTGAGAAGGCAAAGTCGAAAGCTCCTTGCATTGTGTTCATTGATGAGATTGATGCTGTTGGGAGGCAGAGAGGGGCAGGACTTGGAGGTGGTAATGATGAAAGAGAGCAGACTATCAATCAGCTCTTGACTGAAATGGATGGGTTCTCAGGGAATTCAGGTGTTATAGTGTTGGCAGCAACTAACCGCCCAGATGTTCTTGATGCGGCATTGTTAAGGCCTGGAAGGTTTGATCGGCAGGTCACTGTGGACAGGCCTGATGTTGCTGGTAGAGTCAAGATTCTTCAGGTTAGCAAGCTTTATTCCTCGAATATTTAGTTTCTTCATGCAGTTGATTCAAATGCAGTCTATTTTCATGGAGTTAATTATGGATGCCATTGGTATTATCTGAAATATTGCTATATATTGCAAGAAAGAGCTGCAAATTTTAAGTAAATTGAATCCATGTTTGACAAAATCCTAGCACATTGCCTGTATGCGTGTGAACAGTTAGGAGCATACCTTGCTTTGCCTAGTTTTATCTGCTATGTGAAATTAAAGATGGCTGGATTTGCTATAACCTGTATTCTGACTTGGAAGATGCCCACTTATAAAAATTTGGCATGCTAATTATAATATTTTTAGCAATTGGGGATGGATTCCACTGCCACATTAATTAAACCTGTTTATTCTATCCACATAAGTGCACTAGAGATGATTGTGTGGTACATTTCTATTCGGTAAGTTAACACACCAGTTATCTTCGGTATGATAGGTGCATTCCAGAGGTAAGGCTCTTGCGAAAGATGTCGACTTTGAAAAGATTGCAAGGAGAACACCAGGTTTTACCGGGGCAGATTTGCAAAATCTGATGAATGAAGCAGCCATCCTTGCAGCACGCCGCGACCTCAAGGAAATAAGCAAAGATGAGATATCTGATGCCCTTGAGAGAATAATTGCTGGACCAGAGAAGAAAAATGCGGTTGTCTCTGATGAAAAGAAGAGGCTGGTTGCTTATCATGGTAAGAAAAGACATTGAAATTCAATATGCAGTAGGCTGTCTTGCTATTTATTGGCCTTCTAACTGGAGTGTTTGAATTGCATTACAGAGGCTGGGCATGCTTTAGTTGGAGCTCTTATGCCAGAATATGATCCAGTAGCGAAGATCTCCATCATTCCTCGTGGCCAAGCTGGTGGCCTTACTTTTTTTGCTCCAAGTGAAGAGAGGCTAGAGTCAGGGTTGTACAGTAGAAGCTACCTAGAGAATCAGATGGCTGTCGCTCTGGGTGGAAGGTCAGTTGGAGTTGGCATTTTCCTGGTCCTTGATAAAATGTGCATGATTTAATGAATAAATTTTCCCCCTGAATCTGGATTACATGTACTAACAATAACTTAATGGCATGTTTGGAAGAGAGTATAGGAAAGTAGTGAACAGTATTGCATAGAAGATAAAATATTGTTTGTTATATTGTTCAGTTCTATCAATTACTACAAACCAAACATCAACTAGTTCTTTGATTATTGCTCATGATTAGTATGTCAAAATTTGCTTACTGGTTGAAATGTCCATGACGATGACATGTTGAGAATTTGCTTGCTCCTTTATTCTCCTTGCTGCATGTAGATGATGCGTTTTTCATCCCTTCTTTGTCCACGTACTTACTACATTTAATTCAAATGATTATACTCGACAAGAAATGAACAATTATGCTGATAAAATTGGATGAGAAAAAGCAGAAAATCATCGTGTTGTTCTTCAGTCATTTCATGGGTCCTTGCACGCCACCTAACATCTTGTCCCTCACTCTATTTGTTCATTCAGAGTTGCAGAAGAGGTTATTTTTGGATCCGAAAACGTAACAACTGGGGCATCAAATGACTTCATGCAAGTTTCGAGGGTGGCTAGGCAGATGGTCGAGAGATTTGGGTTCAGCAAAAAGATCGGACAAGTCGCCATCGGTGGACCTGGTGGAAATCCCTTCCTTGGTCAGCAGGTACCTTTTATGCTACTCATTGTAGGATCCTGTGGAACCTAATTATATTGTTACCCTTCTTTCTTATAGTTAAAAATCTTGTGATTACGTAGCCTCTCACCGAGGGTGAACAACTATATAAATCTGTGTGTTCTTCGTTCTTTTTCCTGATTTCTTCTTCATTTATCATTACTCCAGGAGTCGGGGATTAAGGTTTAATCCGTAATACGTCTCTATACAATTTCCATTGATCTTATAATTCGATTTGTTATTAATGCTGAGTCGCTATCTGCAGATGTCGTCCCAGAAAGACTACTCCATGGCAACTGCTGATGTTGTCGATGCAGAAGTGAGAGAGTTGGTAGACACGGCATATATGAG